TTTGGAGAAAATCATCAAAGATGATTTTATCCTAAAGAAATTAACTAAGCTTTAATAGCTTGATGACTATATAATATAATCAATATTCATAGAAAACCAAGGCTAGAAATCTCAGCCTTGGTTCAAAGGGTCCGTCCTAGGAGAGGGGATGTTACACATCCTCCTTCCTGTATTAAATTTATCGTTTAATAAATTTAATACTAAGCCCGCGGGGCTTGCCCCCAAGGGTATTCCCCCTCGGGGGAAAGATTAATATTTTGATTATTCATGTATTATAATTTACTCATGTTATTATCATTTATTGAGGTACTTATTGTAATTGTACCATTATTATTATCTGTAGCTTTTGTAACTATTGCAGAGCGAAAAGCTATGGGTTCTATGCAAAGACGATTAGGACCTAATCGAGTAGGATATTATGGTCTATTACAACCATTTGCAGATGCATTGAAACTTTTTGTTAAAGAATCAGTTGTACCTGCTCATTCAAATAAAGCTTTATTTTTACTTGCACCTGTTATTGCTTTAATCACAAGTTTACTAGGATGGGGAGTAGTTCCTTTTGGAGCCGGATTAACATTAGCAGATCTTAGTCTAGGTATTTTATATCTATTAGCTGTAGGTTCTCTAGGTGTATATGGAGTACTGATGGCTGGATGGAGTGCAAACTCTAAATATGCTTTTCTAGGAGGACTACGAAGTACTGCTCAAATGGTTAGTTATGAAGTAGTAATGGGATTAATCATTCTTACTGTAGTATTATTAGTTGACTCACTAAATCTAACTACTATTATTACAAACTCAAATTAATGTTTGGTATATTTTCCCATTATTACCATTATCTTTAATGTTCTTAATTTCAGTAATCGCTGAAACTAATAGAGCACCATTTGATTTACCAGAGGCTGAGTCTGAGTTAGTAGCGGGTTTCTTTACAGAACATTCTTCTGTACCTTTTGTATTATTCTTTTTAGCAGAATATGCTTCTATGATTTTAATGTCTACTTTAGTATCTATGTTATTTTTAGGAGGATACTTAATTCCTTTTGTATATTTTGAGAACCCTACATTTTTCTCTTTTGAAGGATTAACTTTAGGTCTTAAAGCTTCTTTAATTCTATTTATCTATATTTGGGTAAGAGCTAGTTTTCCTAGATTACGATATGACCAACTTATGAGTTTTACATGGACAGGAATGTTACCATTGACTCTTGGGTTCATCATTTTAGTTCCATGTATCTTAATGGCTTTTGAAAT